GTGTGTGTGTGTGTGTGTGTGTGTGTGTGTGTGTGTGTGTGTGTGTGTGTGTGTGTGTGTGTGCACGTATGCACGTATAATGTTCACGTAAAATATTTTCATAGCAAGTTTCTTTATGTTAACATAGAAGAGTTAATTAATTAATGAAATTAAAAAAGTAAATTTAAATATCAGAATACATTTTTTTTATTACATATATTAAATTTTTATTTCTTTTCGTAAGCATCTGAATATGATTTTCTATAATATATGATACAAATAAATAAAAAATAAGTATTTTAATGAAATGGGTAAATAAACTCAAAAAACAACTTTGTTTACTTTTAAGATATTGAAATGTTTCATTCTTGTCTCCATTTTTTAAACACTTAAAGATGTTTATGTGTTTTGTCTATTGAAAAAGTTTAAAACTAAAACATATTTAATTGTTAAAAAAATGGAGACAAGAGTAAAACATTCTTCTTTTTACAGTGTGGATAGAAATTTAGGGAGTGTATCAATCGATGTCGAATCATGGCCATTTCCTTAGATTACCTAGATTAATCAAGTCATGACATGTGAAGAACATTTACATCAACCCACAAGAATTTCATGTTTTCAAGTCTTCGCATGTAGCGTGCTTGTTTCAAATTTATTATACATCTACGTATCGTTATCCATGTATGCATACACAAATGTTTTGTAGATAGTGTCTCTTTTGTCCGAAATGGAAAAACATTTCATAAAAACACTTGTCTAAATAGAAAATTCAAATTAAGGCTATAAATAATATAATTCATGGAGGCTTATAGATTTGTCGATTAAAATAAATTTTAGTGATTTTAATTTTCTATATATATATATATATTTATATTTTTTAAATGATACGACATTTCATAAATCATAATTGCCTAGTAAATATATAATAATAAAAGAATATAATAACAACAACAACGTAATGATAACATTTCTCTGTAGTTTCCTCGAAGGATTTTATGTCGCGTTCTCACGTATGCCGGTTTATCGATAGACACGTTTTAGTTCATCGGTACCACAAGTACAAGTTTATGCGTGCAATCGTAATCGTTTTATTCATATCGATCAATATAATCCGGTGTTTCGGGTCGCACGTATAATATGGCCTCCTTCTCAAAGGCTACTCTTCAAATGTGATATGTAACTCTGTACCAATTTACGTTGTACACGATGTTCCGAGCAATTTAATGCTATTTGATGATGATAAACCGTATCCATGGCTGTGGCATCGCCATAATTAGATTGCACGAGTTCCAATTGTACTTGCGCACTTTGTCGGACAAAGTAACAATCAATTAAAAATTAAATCAATGCGCGATAATAAGCGTGTTTATCGTGACTACGGTCATCCATATGAGGTGATGTGAGATAGTTCTTTTGTTTCAGCAAAAAGTTTCTACGTTATTTTAATTACGTTAATTAGTGATAAGAATAAAATCAAAATTTATTTTATCTCTCTTTAAGCTGATATTTTAAATATTTGAATAGTTAGCTGTTTATAGTATAATATAACGCAATTATGTATAAGTAGCGCGGAGAAAGAAAAGCTCAATAAAAGAATCAAGTTTTAAAAAGCCTCTTTGGAAAGACTGATTGTGCGAGCAGTCTATTACTTTGAAGCAGCTCTTTGCACAATGAGATAAGTCATTAATTATGTCAGCTGCGTATTTTGTTGATTAGAATGCGCATTTCTCGAAACGTCGGGAAACACACAGACGTTAAACTCTTTATTATAAATGCGCATTAATCAAAATGCATTATTGTAACGTTTCTTTGTTAATCCCGACGAGCGGCGACATGTTGCTGGAGGTGAGAAACGTCGAAGCATGATTTGCAAATGGTCTCGCGATAATCATATCATCGCGAGACCATAATCATTTATAATAAAAAATTCCGTCCTATCATAAATATCTTTACGTCATCTGCTTTCATCTAACGCGAAATATAAAGTTACATTTATTGTGAAAAATTTATTTTATCTCTGTCAATCGACGTTAAACACTCAACTATATTGGATTGTTAAAGTAACACATTTAATTATTTAGCTTTTTTTCTCATAGAAATGTGTTTGTTATAAATAAATATGTTATTTCGTGTTGGAAATCACTTAGTTTTTAATACATACCGTGACATTCACGAATATCTTGCGATGACAGGAATATAGTACTTTTCAGTTGTATAATTTATCATTGTAGCTCTAATTTATTAATCCGTCGCTTGTTACTCGTAATGAGATAGACAAAAAAATACGCGTTTTTATTGTGAAATAATTGTTTTATATGGTTTAAGCAGAAGCAGTTTGTAATCACTTGTTTATTACTCGCTTTCGACACTTTGCTTAATCATATATCGCCGCGAAACAAAAGATCGAGAATTATCTAATTAGACTCGTACTAAAAGCTAATCGCGTTAATTGATGCTGTATGATATTTTAGTTACATATACAGTTATACAAATAGCTTTTCACGTAGACATAGCGCGCGCATTACAAAAAGTTTGAAAGTTATTAATTAA